ACGACGTTGTCGTGGTGCGCCAAGTTCGGCCTGGACCGTGCCACTCGAGCTGCTTTAGGTTATCACTCGAAGGGTCGTGATGGCACTGAGCTGATTTATGGCCGGGATAATATGGCAAAGCCAGTGCGGGACCTGCAGGATGTGCTTTTGCAGGTGGCTCTGGGGAAATTCGACCCTGACGCCACTCGTTCAGGTTACTTTTTGAAGCGCGGTGGGCCTCCGGACGGTGAGGCTCTTCCACAGGAGGAAGTTTTGTCGGAGTCCTCCTCCGAGGCCAGTGAAGATGCTGAGGACGTGGATCATGAGGCGGCGGAAAGCGCTGCGGACGAGCTTGGGCGACAGTGGGAGCCTGATCAAGGTCTCAGAGAGGAGCTGGCATCCGTTCCCCTTTTCAGGAACCGTGAAACCAGGTTCATACATGTGGCGGCCTCAGAGGAAGGCGACAAGTTTCGTTGCGGTAGGAACATTTCAACACGTTATTCCAGGCTCTCGTCAGTGCCCAGGATTTTGTTTCCCTTGTGCAGAAATTGCTGCCCACCGAAGCGTGAGTGAGAGGGAGTGAAACAAGGGCGTGTTGAGTTGTGGTGAGCTGCTTGTTCGAGCTTTGCACTCTGTGAGTCCAGTGCTGCAGTGAAGTGCTTCGAACATGACATGTCAAGATTTCAACTCTAAGCTGATGTGAGTTTGAGGTGCGGCCTTGAGTGTGGATCCGGCTCAGTCTGTGCATGTCAGTCGACATTCGTACATTCACACAGCATTGCATGCAGTTTCAATTTAGTAGTGGAGTGCCTTCGGAGGAGGGATGGCCAATTATTCCGAGAGCCAGTCGGTGCTGCAATCCAGACTGGGTGCCGTCGGCTTTTCTGATGTTGACATCCAGGCGATTTTGCCTGAGGTGGGAAACCTTAGGAGGCTTGCGTTCATCTCCTCGTTTACTCCGGGGCAGACCGATGAAGGACCCCTCATGGAAGTCCTGAAAGATATCTTGAAGCGTGATCTCACGATTTCAGATAAGGCGAACTGGAGGGCTGTTTACAATGAGGCTTTCGCCATTGTTACAGCCGAGATGAAGCAGCGCATCGAGAAGGCCGACCCCGAAGCCACGGTCAGGCCTTTGTCTCAGCCGGAGAGATCTGAGAGGTATGAGAGGCAGGCCAAGAAGCTGGTTGGCATTTCTTTGAAGGGGCCGCTGGAGCCCTCGGATGCCTTAGTCGATCTGGCAGTGGCCTCTTATGAAGCGAATGAGCTTCGCTACATCCCTTGGGAAAAATGTGTTTCCAAGGAAGCCGAGTTGGC